AGCTGACTTGCTGGCAGCCTCTAGAGCTGAGAGTGATTCCCCAGGCAACAACCAGAGAAAAACAAAAACAACAATAAAAACACACCTCAATTCTACAATCACAAGGAACTGATTCTGCCAACAAGTTGAATGCTCTTGAAAGAGGACACCAAGCTTCAGATGAAATCTCAATCTTGATTTGTCTGTGAGCAGAAAACTCAACTACATTGTGTCAACAGCAACTGTGAGATAATAAATGGATGCTGAGTTAAGCTGCTAAATTTGTGTAATTTGTTACTCAACAATAGAAAACTAGTATACCTTAGAAGAAATATTTCAAACATTTTTAGGGGATAGTGACTAAGTGGAACAGAATGAATGAAGGGGAGTCCAATCACAGGGCTTTTAAGAATGAGTCTTAATATTCCTCCTGAGGAAGCGTAAAGGGTTCCAGGATCTAGGCCTGGTCATATAGACCAGGTTATCCAATATAGCTCCCTAAAGAGCTTTAATGGTTGAATAGGAAGCAGCACAATCTCTTGGCATTTGGATTCCCAGGACCGAAATGGAATAGGATAGAGACAGAGTAGACCTCAGCCTGATGAGATTCAGCTCTCTTTGTTGGTGAGGTCACGGCCTTGGGCTTGGTTTCAGGGGTGCTGGTAAAAATCAGCTACAGAAACTTCTACCTAAAGATCCTGCAGGAGGACTCCTAAGTTTGAGCTTGGAACAGAGGTATGTGAGTCACTGCAGCTACCATATTGAAAAAAACTTGCTAGCTTGGATCAGGAGCTGATCAAACTAGACTCCGAAATACTGAAATCAATATTTCTCCCTTGAGGACTTGTGCTTGCAAGGAATGAAGGTAACAGCAATAAAGGCAGTTGAAGGCAGATGGAACATTGTCTTTTTTTCCAGGATCCAAAATTCCTCAGGCTTATTATTGATCTGATGCAAGGCAAGAAGAGTAAACCCTGAAAAAAGGCTGATATCAGGCTTTTCTTCTAGTCAGTTGGATGAGTTTAATGTTAAATACACAAATAATGATGTGACCTCCAGTTTCATGGAGCAACTTCCATCTACTTACGAATTCATAATTTTGTATCTTGCTTTGTTAACTTAACATTCCATCTATAGTCAAGATGATGTACATAAATACTTCCTTTGGAATACGATTCTCAAAGTAGATTTATTTGGACAAAAAGTAGAAACATTTTCAAACTTTAGATATGTATAACCAAATCGTTTTTAGGAAAGATATTAAAATTATTCAACACACTAGTAACCCACATTTTATAGTATCATCACCAGCACTAAGTACTATATACTTTATCATTAGAGAGGCAAAATTAGTCATTTTATGGTGTGAATTGGCTTTTCTTTGATAATTTGATATAAGATATGCCTTTAATGTTAATTCCTTTTCCTAAGAAATCTAGTGAGGCATTTATGTTCTCCTTTTATTAATTAATTTTTAAGATTTTTGCCTAAGTATTAAACATTTTTATAAAATAATTTTAACTTTTTATGAAGACATCATTAAACAAAACAAAAATAATATATTTGGCAATATTTTCCTAAACATGACCAATTATTCCTACTAAATTAAAAAAAATCAATGTCAAGGGATAAAATTGTATCCATTAAACCTGGCGACCAATTTTACGTCATGAAAAAAAAAATGTAAGTGTATGAATATATTTGTAATGTATGAAAAGAGAGAGAGACATGATATGCCAAGATATTTTTGTTTACTATATATAAGGCAGCAAGAGGCATATTTTTAACAATAATGAAGTCAATTTGAAGGGATGACCAATCAATAACTAACAAAACTTGATGGCTCTGAAGTTTTTGGTAATCTGTGAGACTCTGGCAAGTCTACCTGGCATCAATAAAGCTTATGCATGTAGAACTAGGTGAAAACCCCTGTCCCATCACTCTGTCCTGGTATGTGAGAGCCAGCCCTGGCAACTCTGTAAATAGAGTAGGGGGAGAATCCCTACATCAGTGGGTGAGTCACCAATATGACGGCCTTTACATAAGCCAAAATAGAGGATAGTTGTTATTAGCTGAGGTTTGTGAGCCAGAGAAGAGAGTTAAAATATTCTTTTTATTAAGATGATGTTCATCAGGTTTTACGGATGATATTTCTTTCAATTATATCTATAAGTTTATTAACTTAATTGAAATAAATAAAGCAAGAAATGTGGGTGTGATCTTGATAATTTGAATGGAATAAATCAAATAAGAAGCAGAGGTGCTAACTCATCAAGGAAGACAAAAGCAGGGCATATCAGACAGAGTTGGATATTATTAGATTGATTTGGGCCCATACTGGAGAAGGAAGCTCTTGTGGAATCCTTGTTTCTCATTTCCAGGTGAAAAACAGCAGTAGTACTCTCTAAGAAGAAAGGAATGGTTTATGGCATTAGAAAGCCATCAGTTAACCTCACAAAATATGGCCCTAGACAGAGTGTTATTATTTATAGTTCCACCTAGATGCCAACACATAGACCAATTAATTAGTTTAACCATTACTATCCTTAGGAAGGAACCTCGGAAGGTGCAAGGTACTGGTCGAGCTGGTTGATCTGGATGAGGGAGAAAGCTGTATCTAGCCTGGAGGCAACAAGGTATCTTATCTTGGAGCAGCAAGAAAGAGACTCAATCAGAATTAGGAGTGATCTAATGTCTCTCAGCCTTCCCCTAATGTTGTGACAATACATAAGTCTTCACTCTTATACAGTAGTTCCCCTTCATCCATGGTTTCACTTTCCACAGTTCCAGTTACCATGGTCTACCATGGTCTGGAAGCAGACGATCCTCCTTCTGATGTACTGTCAGAAGGTCAATAGCAGCCTAAAGCTACATCACAAGCCTATGTCATTCACCTCAATTCATCTCATCACGTAGATATTTTATCACTTCACATCATTACAAGAAGAAAGAATAAGATATCACAATAAGATATTTTGAGAGAGGGCCAGCCCCGTGGCTTAGCGGTTAAGTGCGCGGGCTCAGCTGCTGGTGGCCCGGGGTCAGATCCCGGGCACGCACCGACTCACCGCTTCTCCGGCCATGCTGAGGCCTCGTCCCATATACAGCAACTAGAAGGATATGCAGCTATGACATACAACTATCTACTGGGCCTTAGGGGTAAAAAAAAATAAATAAATAAAATTATTTAAAAAAAAAGATATTTTGAGAGAGACCACATTCACATAACTTTTATTACAGTATATTGCTATAATTGTTCTATTTTATTATTAGTTATTGTTGTTAATCTCTTACTGTGCCTAATTTATAAATTAAACTTTATCATAAGTATGTATGTATAGGAAAAACATAGTATATATTAGGTTCGGTACTATCCCATGGTCTCAGGCATCCACAGGGGGTCTTGGAACATACCCCCTGCAGATAAGTGGGGACTACTGTAAACCAGCTTTGATTTTTCTCTGATTAGGATTCTAAATTTGGGTTGCCTCCCATGTATAGAATTAAAATAATTTATGAAAATCTGAATCAGCAACACAAAGTGTTTGCAATGGGGAATTTGATAGAATATATAGCTTAAATGAAATCCCAGATAGAAATAAGATTTACATTTTTTCTTAAACAAACATGTCCCAAATTCAAATGGTATGACAGAATGAACCTAAATGGAAGCCTCTTTGAATAATACATATCCACTTTCATTGCAAACACTTATTCCACAATGAAACTTTCTTCAGGGCAATGGCCATGTGAAGAGTGGTGTGGTAGATTTACTAGTGTTTGTAAATATTTATTCACACACCCTTGTCCCCCTCACCCTTTGAGTACACTTTCCATCCCATTGATATTAGGCTTAATCAGTCACCTATTTTGATCAATGGATTCTAAGTGGATTTGACACACACTACAGCTAAGTAGAAGCTTTAAATGTGATAGTAGGGTTTATCAGAGTCTCTTGTTAATTCCCACTGTCAGAAGAATGGGCAGGTCCTCAATAGGGTCCTCTCTTTCAGCTTTGGTCTTTTTTTTTTTTTGACTCTTGTCAAAGTTTTATTAGTTTGGAGCATGTGTAGTGATGTTACAGAGTCTGGGGCCCGGGGGCTTCCCCAAGCTGCAGCTTCCCCTCTTCCCTCAGGGCAGGGCCAGGTCAGGCCAAATGGTATTCAGCAGCCTCTTAGCCTTGGGCTCCTCTAAGGCAGAGGCAGTGGAAGGGAAAAGGAATGGGAGAGAGAAGAGGCAAGAGGAAGAGAAAAGGAAAGTGGTTTTATGGCAGAGTGTGGCAGGAGGCAGCCCCCTAAAGAAGCTCAGACACCCCCGACCCAGGCCCCAGACATGGTCACAAGCCCACCTTCCCTGCCTGCCCCCGGGCTGGCCAACATTTGCTACGATAAAGGAGGCACCGAGTCTGTCAGGAGGCGGCAGAGTGGGCTCAGGGTGGGGGTTTCTCTCCACACAGACCCTCCTGGGGCCATTCGAGACCAGGGTTCCTCCCCTCAGGGGGTGTGGAAACCACACGGGAAGCTGGAGTGGGTGGGGCGGGTCAGGACCCTCTGCTGTGGAAAGTAGAGGCCCCTGTTGGGTGGGAGAAGGAGCAAAGATTTTTGGCTTGGGCTTCTCTGGGGTTCATCCCACAGTCTGGTATTTACATGGGTCTCCCAGGATTGAAGTTGCCTGGGACCTTGGCAAGAGCTCTGGCTTCCTCAGTGTGGGCCTTGTGGGGTGTGAACTATCCATCCCTCCCCACCGCCAGCTCCAGCACAGGCCTGTGAAGACCAGGCTGAGCCCAACAGAGAGCTTGACCTCTGAGCCCTGATTCCGGCCCCAGCAACCCCAGAGGCCCAGAGAAAGGTCAAAGAAGGCGGCTGCATCTTTGGTGCCAAGGAGAGGGGCCTGGAAGTGGGAGGGAGCTGTGTGAGCTGCCCTGAGCCAGGGGTCCAGCCCAAGGGCTGCACGGTGCCTGGCTCTCTGGCACTACCCTGGCAGAGTGAGGGCATGTGGGCAGTGAGGGGCATGGTGCCAAGCTAACACTGCAGGGCCTGCTGGGGCAAAGAGAAGGCCGAGTCCGCCCTGCGCCCTCCTGCCCACGGCTCCCAGGGATCGAGGCCGGGCCCGCCTGGGCAGGGAGGTGGGAAGCAGGCTGCTGTGCAGGTGGGCAGCAGGGTCAGCAGTGTAGGATCTTCAGGAAGGCCTTGCGGAACTCGATGTTGAAGGTTGTATAGATGATGGGGTTCACGGCACTGTTGACATAGCCCTGCCACATGAAGGTGCTGTACAGGAAGGGCTGGATGTTGCAGTCACAGTGTATGTTCAGGATGTGGGTAATGAAGAAGGGCAGCCAGCAGATGATGAACACGCTGAGAACAATGGCGAGCATCTGGGTGGCTTTCTTCTCCTTCTGCTGGGAGAGCTTCCTACGGCTCATGGTCTTGAGCGAGGTCAGGGTTTTGCCATTGGGCATGGACTGGATCTCAAAGATCTTGGCAATCTTGGGGTGGTCTTTGGCATGCCCATTCTTCTCTGGTTTGGCAGGGCTGTCAGGAGAGCTGTGGAGGCCATGGTGGGATGGGTTGGGGAGGGTCAGCTGGTGGTGGCTGGGTGGGATGGGGCTGTACCGGGTCCTCTCGGGTGGGCTTGTGCTGGACAGCATCTCCATCTCCAGCTCCTGGGCTCAGCGGGCAGTGTCCAATCTCCGCCTGTTCACTGGGAAACTCCCATTAGACTTCATGATAACGGTGCAGAGTTTCATGTCCTCGGGGTGAGTGCAGTTGCCCCTGGGTGGGGTCTTCAGGTTGACGTGGAAAGCCCGGCTGCTGCGCTTGGTGTTGACCCGCTTGCGTCGCCTGCAGAGGACGATGTAGATCTTGATGTAGACCAGCAGCGTGATGATGAAGGGCACGTAGAAGGAGACAATGGAGGAGTAGACCACAAAGGCGGGGCTGGCGATGATGCACTCATTCTGGTCAGTGTTGTTGAGTCCGAAGAGCAGCAGGCAGGAGATGGTAAAGGACAGGACCCAGACGATGGTGATCATGAGTGACTCGGTGCTTGGAGCTGTAGCGCGTGGGCATGGCCACGGCCGTGTACCTGTCAATGCTGATGGCACACAGATTCAGGTTGCTTGCTGTGCACATCATGACATCCAGAGTGATGAAGATGTCACAGTGAATCCTGATGAATTTCCACTCGCCCACCACCTCCAGGTAGACAACCCAGGGCATGACAAGCGTGGCTATGAGGAGGTCAGCCACCGTGAGGCTGACCATCAGGTAGTTGGTGGTGGTCTGCAGCGCCTTCTTGCGGGACATGGCCATGCACACCAGCACGTTGCTGAAGACAATGACGAAGATGAGCAGCATGAGCAGCATGGCGTAGTAGTTGTAGTGGGGCCTGTCGGCCTTTCCATCAGACCCATTGAAGGGCCAGCTCCGGTTCTGGCTCTCCAGATCGTCATCGTACCAGGACAGGTTAAGTGGATCCACTGGGGCAGCGGGGCCATAGGGCGCCCAGGGGCAGAGAAGGCGCCAGCTGCTTGAGGCTTCTGGCTCCCGCCTCATCCACGCACAGCCGCCCCTCCGGCAGCCGTCAGGGGCCGCCGCTCTCCTCAGCGGGTCCCTGGCTCTCGGCCCCGCCGCGCCATTCAGAGCCCCGGTGGGCAGCCGCTTGGCCGGCTCCGGCCCGCGGCGCCAGCTTTGGTCTTAAAATGGAAGATTTGTTAAGCAAAGCCAAGCTGAATGAAGCTGAGTCACAGCAGCCACAAATAACTTAACAGTCATCAACACCTACAGAGGCAAGGACTAAATGTTTGTTATTGTAAAACAATGAGCATGTGGGTTGTTTGTTTAGCAGCAAAGCTGACCAATACAAGTGGGAACTTAAGCATTGGTTAAATAAATGAATAGATATCTCTTCTAAAAGTATAATTTAGTAACAGGAAAAAGCTAAAATAAACACACATTAACTACTGTTTTGTTTTTAAAAATATTTTATTCTATTTAGTCCTAATAATTCTTTCTTTACATTAAAACTCCTGAGTAACGATTCTTCCAATTCTAATTATGAGCAGGATTTTAATTATAAGGAAATAGGGATGTTATTCAAATAGTGGCCAATTTTCCATAAATATTGTAGTTCAGTCATGTAATGAGAAATGTACTATTTATAGAGAGAAAGCATTCAGATATTTCTTCATTACAAAATTAATAAAATAGGAATAAATTCTATGACAATATTAGCCTTATTTCCAATATTTATCAACCTACCATGATTTTCAATTAGCTTTGAAACTCAAAGTTGAATAAATGTCCCTCAGAAGAGTGATGAGCATATGCAGACTAATATTAACAACAACTTTGTTCATTACTTAACAACTTTATCCAAGTCACCTCAGGCTGACTGTAGAAACTTCAAACAAGTTTTCTGACTTTAAAATTATACACACAAACAGAATGCCTAAATTCAAGTGATATCATAATTTTTTAGATTCAAAATGTTTAAATAGGAAGATACTAAGGAAATTCAGTCAAAATTCAATATAAATTATAAGAACATGTGCAATTCAAGCAACTGTCATTAATCTGAACAAGTCCTCAGATTTTGTTTCCAGTTTCATTATCTGTATTAATTATGTATTAGCAGTTTATTTTTTATGCATGAGAACTCAGAAAGATACCAATCCAACTGTGTACCATAATTGTCCTTTCAGAAGCGAAAAACGTTTCACAGCTAATATTATGAAAGATTAGGGGCATCACTTTAGCTTTATGCTTGTATGATTGTGTTTAATCTCATTTTTCCAAATTCACTGCTGAACTGATATGCACTACTATTTCATAAATTCTACTTTTCAGTTTGTTCAATGAAGATGACATTATGCATACCGGAATTAGCTTCCTATTTTCAAGAAAGTTTTTGAGGCTTGTGATTCATTTCTTTTCAAAAATGTACACGTTTCTAGGTGTCATTGTCTTCAACCATAAAATGACAACATTTTAAATATGTCATTAAAATGCATCCTACCTGATTTGTAGAGGGAATAAATATATTTAAAGACGTTACCCATGTAATCCTATTAAAGCAGAGTTTGCAAGGAAATGTTTCACATGCTCTTGAATCTTTGAAGCTCATGATGGTTGTAAGCCATGCTATAGCTCTGTTGTTAAATTTTCCCAAAGCAGTTAAAGCTAATGGCAGTAACAAATGAAATGCTGTAAATCCAGGAAACCATCAAGACTGCTTAATTCCTCAGGCATAAATTTTAATCATTGAAATAGAATTTTTTTCTGTTTCCTTAGCTAATCTACTTTCCTTTGTTTTTTCCCAAGAGGATTTGATGTTTTGTTAAGAATGAAATCAATTACAGTACAACTACAATTTATCAGGGATTCAGCCCTAGACAGAAGTCACTAAGATGAGAAAAAGGTGTTTCACCGTTTTTCAGGCAAAAGAGGCTCTCCATGTCTCTCTCTTTCTCTCATCTAGTTTGATTTTTTCCTTGTATTTTCATTGAGGGATTTTTGGCAAATCGAACATACAGAATTGACGTTCACTTGGGGAGTTATTTCCCAAATGCACTTTACTCCCTCTTTTGAAAGCTAAAAAACTGCTTTAAATAATTCACACAATTTAACTGCAATTAATATATGGACTAATTTGATTTGCCTGATGTAACAGTTGAATGATACCTATCAGAATTCCCTGAAGTATTTGTCAAAAACACAGATTCCTAGGCTCTGACTAAAACTCAATCAGAATGTTCACAACCCATGTACCTGAATATTTAAGAAGGTCCTCAAGTGACTCTGAAGCTTGAGAACCAACATTGCTATAAACGAAGAAATAGCTGAATACATGGAATTACTGACATTTTTTTCCCCTCTTTCCTTTTCATTTGGCTTTTCTTCTTTTCTTTTCTCAACTTGGTTTGCTATAACGGTATCTTCGAAGTTGAGCCTCACCTTTCATCAACAGAATTACAGCACTGCTGGGTAAATCTGAAATAAATTAAATTTGTGCCCTAAGGTATTAAGCCTTATTTTTCTTGTTTCATTGAATTTGTTATGTGTGTTATGTTTCCAAATAGGAAATTCACTTGGTTTTTTTGTAGATTAGCATACTTGTACTTACAGGATATCATATTTTAGTGATTGGAGAAATTGTCTATACTGGGCTTTTAAGAATTTAAGGCCCTTCCTTCCAAGAGAATAAAGATAATTTAGTAACAGTTTAATTAGAATATCTGAAATGATCAGTATCTGAAAGGAAAAAAGTATATTTGTCAAAAGATGAACTAGTTTGTTTCATATTTTAAAGAAAACTACATTCAAGTCAGAGCATAAAAGGAAAAGTACAAGACAATAGAATAGTAATAAAATAATGTATGCTAGAAAACCATTCCCTAGTGCAAAAATGGGCAAAATCTTCAAACTACCCCATATTTTAGCCCAGTAATAAGTGACTTGTGTGCACATACCCAACACAATTCAAGTTAAACTGATGTTGATTTAACACAGTACACATTACACTAGAAGAGTGAAATAATATTTCCTAAATTTCCACCTAAATTACAATAAATGAAAAGCTTATATATTGGGAAATCTGGTTCAATAAAGAGAATAAACTTGAGAAAACTGCTAAATTAGCTAAATGCGCATTATAGTATATATTGTATTAATCGTGATAATTTTCTGAAGAATATTTAGAAAATTTTCTTAAAAATAATCCCTAGAACTGATTTTTCAATGACTAAGAGAAATAATATAAAAGTAATTTTGTGTAGACCTAAGAAAAAGAATTGACTGTTGAACAAAATCATTGTATTTTAATTCTCAATTATGGTAAACAACAATAACAGACATTGTCACGACCACTCTCCTTCTTGACAGCTGGTCCTATCCTTTTAGATTTTCTGGATACTTCCTTTAACTCCCCACTTTATTTTGTCTCTTTTGATATGACATATATTTGAAATTATATAGGTCCCAAGCAGCCTTTCTGGAATCCATTATCACTGAAAAATGGTCATTGGATGTTTACAAATACTTAACTGACACTGAGCTCATTTCTTAATCTACCACTAATTAAGTATATGGAAATAACATTAAAAAATCCGGATGTCAGTTTCTTTACTCCTAAAATAAAGGTGTGTATCCCTTTCATCTCTAAGTTTCCTTCCAACTCAAAAAGAAAATAATTCTATGGGGCAGTTTGTGCCATGACCGAAACAGCACAGATTGTCTGAAATTTCTTCCTTATATTAAGAATAAACCTGGTCAATCATGATTCTTATTCTTTCTGGAGTAATACTCAACAGGATCTTTTCAGACACCAGTAAGAGAAATCCATGTCAAACTAATTTTAGCAAATAGAGAATTTACTGCCTCATAAAACTGACACGGCTTGAGCCAGGTGCTCAAATGGTATAATCAAAGCTATGTCTCTCTCCATATTTCTACTTTATTTTCCTTTGCATTGCTTTTGTTTTGAGAAAGTTGTCTCCAAATGATGACAACAATGCCAAGCCGCAGTTGTAGCCAAATAGCCTACTGGTTTATCAACCCCAGCCTCTTCTCCAAACTGCCTCTTCTCCAAAGCTTCCTGCACAAGTCTGAGAATTGAGTCTCACTGGCTCATACCCATTTTTGATTTATCACTCTGGCTGCGAGATGAGGAAATGGGGCTTATAAAAAATGTAATTACTGGAGGGCCGGCCCCGTGGCGTAGCGGTTAAGTGCACGCGCTCCGCTGCTGGCGGCCCAGGTTCGGATCCCGGGCACACACCAAGGCACCACCTGTCAGGCCATGCTGTGGCAGCGTCCCATATGAAGTGGAAGAAGATGGGCACAGATGTTAGCCCAGGGCCAGTCTTCCTCAGCACAAAGAGGAGGACTGGCATGGATGTTAGCTCAGGGCTGATCTTTCTCACAAAAAAAAAAGAAAATGTAATTATTGGCAATGCCTAGGTAGAATATCTACCCCTGCAGCTAGGAGTTAGATTAAACCTCAATTAAAACAGAAGAGTAATATGATTTGTTAAAGGAAAACTGGTGTGCTTTTATCAGAAAAACAGGAATTGCATGCTGAGCAGGTAAAAACAAGACATCCAAGGTGTTCTCAAACACTTAATGACAGCTACCATGTTGTCTCATTCTTCTTCTGTTAGATTTACTTAAGCAAGCACTTCTCAAGCATTTTAGTCTCAGGACTCCTTTAAACTAAAGTTGTTGAGAACCTCCAAGAATTTTTGTGAATGTGAGTTATATGTACTGATATTTACCATATTAGAAAATTAAAACAGAAAAGTTAAAAATCTTTCATTAGTAATTCCTATAAAATAACAATAATAAACCTATTACCTAGTAAGATAACTAGTATATTTTTTATGAGAAATAACTATATATTAAAGAAAATTTATGAGAAGAATGGCATTGTTTTACACTTTTCAAATTTCTTTTATGTCTTCAGATGGCTGCATTCTCATCTTCTCCGCCTTCAATCTGTGTAGTTTTGATGAAAATCCAGCCTCACACAGACACGTAGTTAAAAAGGGAAAGAATAGTTTAACAGCTTTTTCAGGTAACTGTGGATATTAATCTTTGATACTACACCCAATCTTGACAAATAGTTTCTTAAAGGTTGCAATGTGGAATCCAAAACTGTCCAATAAACATTTTTATTCTGTTCCATTAAAATCTATTGGTCTAACTTGCACTTTGAATGGGTCTTTTACTCACGCATAATTTTGAAATTTTGAAACATCATGTGTTGTTCATTTGGAAATCACTGGTTCACCTTGGTATGCAGCAGAAATGCCGTGTACTTCCCATTTCATTGCACAGAATATTAAGGAGACATGTACTCAAGGGCTGATATTTGACACAAACAATATTTTTGCTTCATCAAGGACAAAAATTTTTAAATGAAATTGGCCTTTTTTCCCCCTGCGAGTGCCTGGCAGTGAAGAATACAATGACTATTAGTACAGTTTTGTACTACTGCTTTGATTCAGCAAAAGCATTAGAAATTTTACCCAGTATTGTTTTTGCACTATCAGTGAAAATGTCAATATATTGAAAAGTCAAATAATTTTAGGATTACTATGAAAATTCCTTTTACCTTTCAATCCTCTGAATCAATCTTGGGAACCCTAAGAGGTCCAAGGACCACACTTGAAAAATCAAACTGCTGCCTTGAAACTGCTACCAAAAGTTTTTGTTTGTTTGTTTGCTTTTTTGGTTTCCACATCACTTATTCTAAGATGCCCTCCTAGACATACAAAATTTTGTTAGCATCTGTCCTAAAATGGGATAATGTATAGGAAAGTGAATTTTACACTATTAAGTACCTTACAAGTATAATAATATGTTATTATTATCATTATTATTACTATTAATGATATAACATTTTGAACTAAGCACAGTTTCTCTGGTGTGGTTTGACTAGTACAGACTAGAGGAAGAGAAACATTGTTCTATTCTTCTATTAATGTTGTCTAACTTGCACTAAATTCTAGCACCTATTTCACAACACTGACATACAGAATTTGTGGTTAACATAAAAGATCAGAGGTTTCTGTATGTGAAATTCTAGGCATCCTCTAGTCTACATTCCTACAATTAATTTTTTTTTTAACATTCAAATTTTATTTCAGTTTAGTAATTGGAAAATTGAATTGTTTCCTTGTGACTGAAGCCCTGACTTGGTAACCCACCATACTTCTAGTCTTTGGAAAACCAGAGGCCTTGGGCTTGCACTTGTCAGTTCTATATTCTCCTCCAGAAATCATACTCCGCTCTTGAGGCTGCAGTCTAATAAAATGGTTTGTTTTAAAGGCACAAACAACAATCACACTCAAACTCTCACATATCCTCAGACTAAAACGAGGGGAATTTAAGGCAGTCTGTTGTCCGTGTTAAGCACCTTAAGGTCAATGAGATGTTTGGAATCTCCCTGCCATATTTTCTCATGGTCCTTCAGTTCTCATCCCATTGTCCTTTGCCTTTAAGCAGGTTATTTTTACAGTTCACTATATTTTACACATAAAATACATCACAAAAATTAGATGGAGCTTTTTTGTACCTTCTTTGTTGCTAGGTCCTATTTAAGATCCTAACCGCCACATAACTTCACCTTATAAATAATCAATAAATCCTGACCCATCCACTGATTCTCTGGCACACCCTTGGCCAAAACTAAACTTCAACAGAATACACTCTTCTGGGTCACTTAACATCTGAGTATTTTGAAGCACAAAGATGATTTACATTTTATGCACTATCCCGAAATAATGTAGACACAACCTGTCACTATGACTCTATAACAGGTATTCAGAAATATAGGTAGTCCTAGAAAACAAAAACCTAAATGAAATTAGAATAGGAAATATCATAGTTCTGCTACTTAAACTAATTTTCAAGTAGATGGATCTACATTTTAAAAATTGATTATTTATTAATTAAAAAGCATGTTTAATGGACTATGCATAATGACTTACTTCCAGAGTACACTATGGAAAGGGGGAAAAAGAGTTAATGGTACATTGGAGAAACTTGAGAGACACTACCATAGCCAGGTGATCAAGGTTAACATCATCAGCGGTGAGTTATATTGATAGTATATACTCTTGATAGGATGTGATGAGAATATCACTCTAACTCTGTGGTCTTTCTCCCAAAAACCCACAACTACAGTCTAATCAAGAGAAAAACACGAGATAAATCCAAGTTGAGGGACATTCTACACAACACATAACCAGTACTCCTCAAAATTGTCAAGGCCATCAAAAACAAGGAAAGTTTGAGAAACTGTCACAGAGGAAGAGAGTTTAAGGAGACATAATGACTAAATGTAATATGGAATCCTGGATAGGACTTGGAACAGAAAAAAGACATTATACTAAACTATGAAAATATAAATTCAGTATGGACTTTAGTTAGTAATAATGTACTGGTTCATTAATTTGTATGGTGACAAATGTACTATACTGAGGTAAGATGTTAACAATAGGAGAAGTTGAGTGTGGGATATATGGGAACTCTGTATTACCTTTGTAATTTTTTTGTGAATCTAAAACTTCTCTAAAATAAAAAAGCTTATTTTTTAACAAAAAACACAATTAACAGTTAAGGAAGAGAGAAGAAACCATTTGTTTCAAGTTCAGAACACCAAGGAAAACTCACAAAGTTCATTGTCACAAAACCTTAAACATTATCTTTAGTCAGAATATGGAGTGAAATCAAGGTCTAAAGGTTATGAC